CAGTGTTAGTCCCCTGACATCTGGGGAGCCACATTTAAACTCTGCAGAGTTTCGCACGTCCTAGGTGACACATCAGTTCCAGAAAATAATGAATTGCATTGCACTCATACAATCACAGGTTGGGAGTGGACGAGTTCAATGACCCACATTGTCTCTGTCAGATGTTTCACATTACATGACATTAGACAGAGCCAACGATGGTGTCACCAAAATAATCCCTGAAACAACCATATAATGGGTGGTAACACTGCTCATAAACATTTTTCCTTTTCCTTGGGATGCTGACCTAAAGCTCCAGTTTTCTTGGTGTGGCTATAGAGAGGAAATTGGTAGTTTCCCCACAGCAAATAGAAGAGTATTGTGTTTACAGAGTATAAATCAGGACAGAGTTATGAAAATAGCAGAGGAGATTTAATGAATGAAGCTCCAGTTTTTTTGGTGTGGCTATAGAGAGGAAATTGGTAGTTTCCCCACAGCAAATGGAAGAGTATTGTGTTTACTTTACAGAGTACAGTATAAATCAGGACAGAGTTATGAAAATAGCAGAGGAGATTTAATGTTCTACTAGCAGTCGGCAGCAAGAAGCCACTCTTTCTCCCTGGTAAGCCTATTTTAAAATTTAATGTAAATTTAGCACATGATTTGAATATTAATCTGATGCATGTTTATTCTGAACTGTGTTCCACTCCGGGCAGTGGGATGGGCTCCCTAAGAAGGACTTTCAGTAAAGCTACGAACTTGTGCAGGTCCAGCCTGAGACACTTTTCTGCTGGAGGCCAATGAAAAGATGGTGATTGTTCCCTTCCCATTCCATGTAAAGAGGTTAGCTGGACGGGCAGTTACTTCATTGCTGGGATGTGATCTTCACCAGTAAGCTAGTTTAGGTGCCCAGAGAGAGTTCTGCCCTCTTTCAAAATGGAACAGCCAATGAGTTTAAGAGGAACTGCTGGGAGGCTTTCACTGCCGTCCCATACTTGGCATCTGCCACCAAGCTCTGTTTAATTTGCTGCTGTTCTATGTCTAATGCTAGGGGTGGAAAGAGGTGCTTGAGCAGTTTTCTTACATATACTGTACCTTAATGGGGAAGGGAAGGAATTTACTGCTTTGCCTCAGGCAGCAGAATATCTTAGACCAACATATGCAATACTGGAAAAAGTATGATCCATATATGTGTGTGTTTTGTGCAAACAAAAGAGGTGCTTGAGGAGGAATCATATACTGTATCTTGATGGGGAAGGGAAGGAATTTGGTGCTTTGCCTCAGGTAGCAGAATATCTTAGACCAACATATACAATACTGTACTGGAAAATGTACGATCCATATATGTGTGTGTTTTGTGCAAACAGATGATTTATTGTGTGACTAGATGGTTTTTGAAAATGTAGGAAGTGGCTTTCTGGCAAATGGACATGCTACAACTGCCTGATCAGAGAGGGACAATTAAGCAGAATTCATTCATAGAACATTGGCTCCCTCTTGATCATAATATTTTGAAACTGAATCCACAGCTTAGTGTCCATGGAGTGCTCAGATCAGCTCCTAGAAGGAAATTATAACTAACAAGAAAAATGTAGAGCCCTGCTTTTAGGAAGCTGGCTGAAAAAAAACCAGACATTTTGTGGCTGCAACTAAAGAGTCATAGTTATACAGAACACATGTGTCCAGAACCACAACTGTTCTTAGGCGTGTTTAGCACCTATGGAGAATAATGTAAGAAGGACTGTTTATGTTGTAGAAAGTTGGTGTCTTTGTTTTCAGGAAGCATGTTTCTGGTTTTTACTTTTAATTTGTATATCACAGATGAATGTCAGGAAGGAATGCGTTCATTGAAATATCAACTGACATATTGTTCCAAAACAGTAGATCATGAATTATTCTAGTCATAAATAAATTGGAGATCAGTGTACGAGGACAGGCAACTTTTAGAATAATCACGATCATATTTTTCAATGTATAAGACTATACTTTCATCTAAAATCTTTGGACTAAAAATTGAGGGTCGTCTTTTACACGGAAGTAAGCTGAGGAGAGAACAAAATGGCCCATACCTTGCCTCTACAAACAGGCTTCCTTCAATCATGACACTTAGCTTCCTACAGTCAGGATCCTGCAGCACTTTGATCCCTTTCCCCCCTCCTTTTGCTAAGCCACTCTCCCTGCTTTCCCCTTTCTTGCTAAGCCCCATGGGACTTAGCAAATGGAGGGGGAAAGGGATCAAAGTACTGCAGGATCACTTTGATCCCTGCTTTCCCCTTTCTTGGAGGGGGAAAGGGATCAAAGCGATTGTGCAGCCACACTTGCTAAGCCCCACTTAGATTTTTTAATTTTGGGTTAGAAATGTGTGTGTGGGGGTGTCTTATACATTTATTTATTTATTTAACTTATATGCCGCCCACACTACCCAAAGGTCTCTGGGTGGCTTATACACAGAAAAATGTGGTAATTGCAGATTTAAAAGTGGTGAATCTATAACTGCCAAAATTCTTTAAAATTCATCGTCTCACCTGTGCTTTCATCTTCCTCATGTCATTCCATGAAAAACATAAATGAAGAACGGATGACATTCAAGTAATTTGCCATTCAACAAATCCATTCTGCCTAATACTTGGGCTGTGCTTCAACCATCTTTGATGTGAAAATGGCCAGCACATCTTTGTATCCTTGCAAATACTTGCCCGGAATGATTTCTTGCCTCCCTTTATACACCCGTGGAATACTTCAGTTACTTTTGCATCTTCTTTCGGGTCATAGCCTTTTCTTCAGTGAGGTCAAGGCAGGATATGTGACTTAGTGCCTGTTCACTTTATTTCCACAGCGACTCTTTGGTGTAAGTCAGGCTGAGGGAGCTCGAATGGTCCCAAGTCCTCAGCTGGATTGTGTTGCTGACTGGGGATTTGAACTCAGGTTTCCTAAGTCTTAGACCAATGCCTTAACCATTATACCACAATGTTCTGGTGTGAGAACATGCAGTCTTTCAAGCAATATAGAAGTTTTGATTAGGACATATATCTAAGTGTAGGATAATATAAAACAGTGTTGTATAGTGGGTTAGAGAGACTAGAAATCAAGTGGAGCAGAGTTCTGAGTCTGTGTTCCCCCATGTTTTGTTCAATACTCTAATCATCCTGACAGTAGAAAGATACCCCTTTCCTTTAGGTGACTCCCAAAGGTTGGCTTCCATTGGAGGCAGATTGCAGAATCCAGTTGACATTGCTCTGTTACTCTGTATTTGGTCCCTCTGGTGACACACAAGCAAAAAACCCGAGAAATGGGGAAGACTCAAGCAATATAGAAGTTTTGATTAGGACGTATATCTGGGTGTAGGATAATATAAAACCGTGTTGTATAGTAGGTTAGAGAGACTAGAAATCAGTGGAGCAGGGTTCTGAATCTGTGTTCCCCCATGTTTTGTTCAATACTCTAATCATCATGACAGTAGAAAGATATCCCTTTCCTTTAAGTCAGTGGTCCCCAACCTTGGGCCTCCAGATGTTCTTGGACTACAACTCTCAGAACCCTTCACCACTATTTCTGCTGGCCAGGATTTCTGGAAGTTGAAGTCCATGAACATCTGGAAGCCCAAGGTTGGGGACCACTGCTCTGACAGTAGAAAGATACCCCTTTCCTTTAGGTGACTCCCAAAGGTTGGCTTCCATTGGAAGTCAAATGCTGGGCTTGAAGACAGATTGCAGAATTCAGCTGACATTGCTGTGTTACTCTGTATTTGGTCCCTCTGGTGACACACAAGCAAAACCCCCGAAAAATGGGGAAGATCCCAGGCAGATGCAGATTGTTTACCAGAATTGGGGGTGGTGTGGTGGGGGTGATGTTGCAAACTGTTGAACTAATTAGATCAAGCAATCTGGGTGCATTCTGAGTCAAATCGGTCTATGTTAGATGAACAGCTGCAGTGCTCTAATAAATTTTAGATCAAATTGAACAAGTCTGTTTGGGGCTACTTTTGCCTATCCATAATTGTTAGTTTTCTGTAACATTCCAGCACCCACCCAACTCCATACAAATAAATGCTTGCTATGCCAAGGCAGAAAGCAAAAGGTGTTTAAAAAAAAAAAAAACCACACACGCACAACCTTTTTGTGTTGAACGTTGATGAACATGGGTGAACCAAACATGGCTGTTCCTCCGTTCTTCAAGCAGTTGTATGTTATGCACAAAGACGCATCCAAGCAAATGATCGCAAAATAAATAGAAGCTGGCTTAGAACAATGAGAAGAAATGAACTGATTCCTCCTCCAGAGACCAAACTATCGGTAACTCTCTAAAAGAGGAGAAGGTGGTTACGGCTCTGGGCCAAGCCAAGCCAAATTTGCACGTGCAACAAATCTTGCAACTCAAGTAGTATTACATGTATTGTCTTGCAAACTGTGGAGTCCTTGTGGAACTGAAATAACAAGTGCTTGACTTGGAATGTATGTGCAATTTTTTAAAAAAAAACACGATTTTGCTTAGAACCAAGTTTTTGGAGATCTTATGATTCACTGGAATTGGTTTGCTGAAAATGCCAAGATCTACTATACAAAATAAAACCAAGGAAATAAATAGCAAGTGCCGTTACCATTATATTATGAAGGGACGGTGTGTGTTACTCATATGTAATTTTTGATTAGCTCCTGTCTTCTGTTCAAAACAGACAAAAATCTCAGGTTCTCATGCTTCACCATTCCATAGCCTTGGTTGTGCCAGACAGACTCCACACCAGATAGCGTGTGTGCACTATTTTGTCTTCTATGCAAACACTGACTGGTGTGGTGATTCATCTCTGTGACAAACATTTTCTTACGTCTCTTGAAATGGTGTAAACACAGCAAATTTAAAACAGCTTCCCATATTGCCAAGGAAGCATATCCACTTTCCCTGCTGCTTGGGGAAAATACAGTGTTATTTTTCTATCTAATATCCTCTGAGAGAAGAAAGCAATAGCAGACTCTACCAGCCAGGAAAGCTGTATTCTGCCCCTTGACATATGTGCTTCCTTACAGACTTGTGGGTGACTTCCAGATTTTAAGGTGCATTTTCAGGTTCAGCAGAATTAACTGGTAAGTGTGCCTCTTTCTTCTACACTCTGGATTTTTGTTGTTGTTGTTGTTGTTTTACTCTTTTTGTGACTCTGAATGCCTGCCTGCTCATGCATACACATTATTTATTTCAAACTAATAGGCATTCTAAGGGTGTGGTGCATCTAAGCAGGCAGAAAAGTGAATGTTGAGGCAGTAGAGTGCATTGCAGCCACCAAGGCAGTCAGGAATGGCGCTGTTTTTTTAAAACCCTCCCCTGCCTAACAAATTCCCAGTAACAGGATGATAGTGGGAAATCATCCTTCTGAATGCTCTCCTACATTCCAATGTCTCTGCAGACAGAATGCCAGCATAAGAGGCAAAAGGACAGATGTACAGTACTGTATTCATGTTCTCTTTGCAGACAACATTTTATCCAGCAGGACCTTCCTATTTTGTTTACACTTTTTTTCATATCCACTCACTTCCAAATTTGGGAGTATTATATTCTCGAAGGCTTTCATGTCCGGGATCTGATGGTTGTTGTAGGTTTTTCAGGCTGTTTGGCCATGTTCCTACGGTTTTTCTTCCTAATGTTTCATCAGTCTCTGTTGTCGGCATTTTCAGAAGACAGGAGTTAGAACTCTGTGTTCTGGTGTAGTTTGTGGGATAGCTGAGTATTTGTAGCTGTGGGATCAGCTTTTTGTCCTTTTCAGGAGACTGGGTGATCATGGTGATCAGGGTGATTTTTTTATGGGTGTATTGTTGTGATAAGGGGGGAGATGGTCTGTCACTGTGATTGATGGGTGTTGTTGGCTAGTCTTTTGTGTGCAGTGATCACCGGTTCTTGTGGCTACGTAGAGTTCATTGATCTTTTACAGGCTGTGTTTTATAAAGTTCATTGATCTTTTACAGGCTGTGTTTTCAGTGCTGGGAGCCAGGCTTTGTTGAGTTTTAGACTTCTTTTTTTGCTGAAGCTCTGCTGGTGTTTATGGATTTCAATGGCTTCCCCGTGTAATCTAACATAATGATTACTGGTGTTGTCCAGTACTTCTGTGTTTTGAAATAGAATTTCATGTCCAGCTTGTTTCAGGGCATGCTCAGCTACTGCCAATTTTTCCAGTTGTTTTAGTCTGCAGTGTCTCTCATGTTCTTTGATTCTGGTGTGGATGCTGTGTTCTGTGGGTACAATATATACCTAGCCACAACTGCAAGGTATCTGGTATATTCCTCCAGTGATGAGTGGGTCCCTTTTGTCCTTTGCTGACCGTAACATTTGTTGTATTTTTGTGGTGGGCCTGAATACTGTTTGCAGGTTGTGTTTTTTCAAACCATAACCATGATCACCATAATCACCCAATCTCCTGAAAAGGACAAAAAGCTGATCCCACAGCTACAAATTTTGTGCAGTATTGATCATACTACAGATGGTTGTGCAATAAAATAGAATTTGATGAAAGCCCACACTACGTTACTCAGTTTATAGCCCAAAACAAGGATGTAATAGTTTGCAGTTTATATGACACACTTAAGAATCCACCAAATGCTTATGATGAAGTGCTGCTGAAACTAATTATCAGTGGGTCCGGTTGAGGATCTGAGAGAATGCATTTCAAATTATAACCAAGCCAGCTATTTCAGATGGGAATTCAGGAGTATCTGTGTGGACCTATGCATTTCTCACTGTTACCAGTTTAGAGATAATTCGGACAAAGTTTTGAAAATATTTATAACAATACATAATTCGTAGTCAATAGAAAAGGATTTTGTAGTTAGTTGAAAATTACTTGACATACTTCACAGAAGAGTCCAGCGAATGCTTCTGATCAGGCTTTTTAGAGATTTGACTAACCCGTTATATGGGGTAGAAAATCAGGTAGCTATCATGCTAAATTTCATGTTTTCTTCTTGTTTCAAAGATCTTTCAAGATAAACAAGCTAAGAGCAAGCATCTGGAAATATTTATAAGATAACTAAATACATAATTGTTTCCTCAGAAATAAGTTTTACTTCCTTGGGCCTTCTGACATTGGCAATCTTATCCACATTTACTTACACAAACACAGGCACACACACACACAAAGAACACACACTATGCTCTACCCTATGTGGTGCCTTGGACCCTCATCAGAGCTTGAAAAATTGACCTCTTCATTGGCTACATCTCTTGAAATCTTCCAGCCAACATGCCCACTGGATGTGACAGTAGAAGATTCTGGGGACTAGAGTCCAAAAAAAGAGGTTACTTTTCCAAGCTCTGCTCCTAGTCAATGCTCTCTTGGCAGGAGCACCTCTCAGCAGAGGTCTGTTCCTGGCTCACTTCCACAGTCAAAAGAGGGAACAGGGCCTTCCTCAATTTCTACTCCCCTTGTAGGCTTGAAAACTGGATCCAGACGGTTGGGAGCTTCCAAAATAGTGTATGAGGATAGTAGAGGATTCTGCAGGCAGAGCGGGGAGTAAGTGACAATAGCTCTCCCACCCCCCACTTCCTCCACTGGAAGGCTGCTGGAGTCAAGTCCCTTTTGCAAATGGAAGCAAACTCAGGATCCAATCCGGTCACAGTTTCTTCAGGGTAGACAGATATTCAGGAAGAGTCTGTAAAAAAGCCCAATTACACTGCCTCTGAGATATCTACAGTAGTAAAGCTCATATACTCCTAGAATCAGAAAACCAGTTTTAAGAACTAGCACATTCAAATCAGTTACTTATTAAACTGAAAATCTGGTACTAGAAAGGAATATTTTATTTTATTTTACCCAAACTGAATGAATTCAGTTATTATTTTTGTACTTATATTTCCCTAGAGTTCATGTAAGCTATGCTGGTTTCCTCTTTACATAAGGGAAGTTGCAAAGAGGAAACACTTTGAAGATGGGTGGGAAGTTAACTATGCTTGCCTCTTTCTTCCTGAGAGGATTCAAGGGAAGGAAATGTGAAAGAGGAAAGTTGGATTCAAAGCTCCTTGAAGAGAAGATAGTTAAGTCCACTAAATTGTCCGGCTTGCTCTGGTGCCTGTAGGAATTCACTGGTGCAAGTAATTCTGGTGGGATGAATTGGGTTAGGGGATTTTTGGTGTCCCATCCACCTGCAACTCCACTCTAAATATAATAAAGGAGCTCTACTAGTGACACAAACCATTTCTTTGTATTTCTCACATCTGAAAGACTTCAAAAATTTGTACAGTGTCTGAAATCCACTTGAAGGCCAAAAGAAAAAGAATACTTTAAAAACATAATTTCAGATTATTTCCTTCTTTGCTTTTCTAAACACTTTTTTGTCTCCAATAAGCATCTATAGAAACATCCTGACTCACGAAAATTTGATTATATAGATATATGAATGTTCTAGGTTTTACTAAATAGAGGTAACAACTATTCACTACAATATGTGTTTTGAATTAACTTACTAGTTTTTTACCGTTCAAAATTACAGTAAACCAGAGTAAGTTACCACAAGCTTGATGTGTAAAACCATAAAATAAGTGGTTGTGAAGGGAAAAACTCAAAGTTTTTGATTTTCACCCCTATGTATCAATGTTGCTACAGTATTTGCTATTTTGTTGTTTTGCTGTTTTTTGTTATTCATTGTAAACCGCCCAGAGTGGCCTTGGCTGTCAGATGGACGGTATATCAAATAAATAAATAAGTAAGTAAGTAAGTAAGTAAGTAAGTAAGTAAGTAAGTAAGTAAGTAAGTAAGTAAGTAAGTAAGTAAGTAAGTAAGTAAGTAAGTAAGTAAGTAAGTAAGTAAGTTCATTAAATACACCAGTGAGATTTTTGTCTCAAGATACCAAACGAATCTGATCGGCTTTGGGTAATGTTACGCACTTTGTCTTGTGTTGAGTGGAAAGTAAACATTCACATATCATGTTTTGGGTCAGTCTGATAACAAGAGCCTCACATGCTTGTGGTTGTAACTCGCCAAAGCCCAGACCAAAGGGGAAAAAAATCTAAAAGAAACTGGCTTTGACATTTATATGCTTCCATTCCCACTTCATCCATCATGTTGTCTCTGAACTCAGCTTTGCTTCCCCACCCATTCTCAGCTGCCAACCAAGCTACAACTTTCTCCCAACTGCTAACTTCTCCTATAACTCAAAACATTTTTGGCTGCATCATCTCTGTGGCATAATGTTGGCTTAGCTCATTCTCCATTCCATATGCCACCTACACAAGACAACTAAATGCAAATACCCCCTCCCAATAAGTACCAATAAGGGGCTCAACGCACTAGGAATATCTCTTGCACCAGTCATGTTGAAATGAATAGGACCCCCGTATGACTCTTCATTATTTCTGATAGGCTTGTGCAGGAGAATGTAGTATAGAATTATTGCTCTGTAGCTGTGCAGGTTAGTGAATCTGGTTTAGTAGATACAGTACAACGAACTGAATCTGAGTTATAGTTATAATTACAAAGGCACTTTCTGAGGTACTGAAACTAACTGGTCACAATCTAAAGTTCACATTAAAATTGAGAGTGGATTCAGCACCCCTTCAAATCCAGAGTGACCATAGATCAAACATGCCCATCTTCCACACTCTGCTATATAAAAGATAGTGCTTTGTCTTAAGATTAGGGTTACCTCCAGCAAACAAAGATAAGGACATAGACAATCCTCCTGCATCTCATACTGCTCAGGCAGTTGTGGAGAGGCAGACACCACTGAGGGAGTCAAGCTATACGCAGAAATTTGATATTTGTTTTCGGTGCCTTTGGGGGGGGTCATGAAAGGCATTTTCTACTTGCTTTGAGTGGGGCTGAAAGTACTAGCCTGGTGATGATGTGATGGAAACTGACTGACTGCTGTTAGCTGAAACCAAAAAGCCCTTTCTGGCTGGAACATACCTGAATTTCTCATAGTTCAGAAGGATCCGTGTGATACCTTCTGATCTTTTCTTACCTGCCAGAACCATAGTAGTTTCTTTCTGGACTAGCTGACATTTCTGAACTGTCTTCACATATACCTCATTATTCTTTTCGGTTCTGGCACCTCTCTGAGCTTCCACTTCTTTATACATCAGGCCTCTTCCCATATATCTT